TGAAACTGGAAAAACACGGAGTACATCCGAAAAGGGCCAAAACTTATTAAGTTATAAAAAAAAAACAATATTAAATCAGTAATATCTTCTAAACGGTGTATCTTAGAAAAATGTTACCGAAGTACTTTTTGTTTGCAAATTTGATGTACTTTCATAAAATTAGGGTGACAAACTTTTTTGACTTTTCTTAATAGCTTTTTTGAAAATTGTATTTTTTTAAAAAACAATTTTTTTCATCGTAACCTATTTTTCTCCAGAACAACTTACTGTGCACTAGATAGCATTTTTAGTCAGCTATAACATAAGGATAATAAAAAAATTATTGACATGTCACTTTAAAGGGAAAATTTATATTTTAGTTCAAAACACAAATACCAAACTTTTTTTTTACCGTGCATATTTTTTCCATATAACACCAACAATTGTCTAAAACTTCGCCCAAGACACCAAACCAATCGGACAAACCGTTTCCGAGATACAATTTTTTGAAGATATCATGTGCATTTTTCATAGGCCCTTCTCATAAGTAAGGCTAGATTCAAAATGGCGAACCAAGTATGCAAAACGGCGTTTTTCTTCCCCAAAAACTTGTATGCAAGGTTTCATGCAAATCAAAAAATACAAAAAATAAAAACTGGAAAAATTTCCCACTTGTTCGTGGAACCGCTCTACTTCAAAGTAGTTACGCATCGGCACTGCTTAAGTCTATCCGAAGCATGAAATCCAACAAGGCTCCAGGGGTCGATCGCATATCAGCAGAGTTGCTCAAAGCTGACCCCATGCTATCCGCACAAATGTTGCATCAACTATTCTGTAATATCTGGGACACCGCGAGTTTTCCGGCCGACTGGATGCAGGGCATCTTAGTGAAGGTCCCAAAGAAGGGGGATCTGACTGTGTGCGACAATTGGCGAGGCATCATATTACTGTGTATTGTTCTCAAAGTTCTGTGCAAAGTTATCCTGAATCGGATACAGGAGAAGATCGATGCGACTCTCCGACGGCAGCAGGCAGGATTCCGTGTCGGAAGATCTTGTGTGGACCATATTGTCATTCTGGAGCAGGTCAATGAATTCCAAGAGTCCCTTTATTTGGTATTCATTGACTACGAAAAAACTTTCGACCGTCTCAATCACGAAAATATGTGGGGCGCCCTGAGACGCAAGGGAGTCCCGGATAAAATCGTCAACCTCATCGAAGCGCAGTATGAGGCTTTCACGTGCAGAGTTCTGCATAACGGAGCCTTGTCCGACCGTATCAGAGTAGTCGCTGGTGTGAGACAAGGATGTATACTATCACCGCTACTGTTTCTCATCGTAATCGACGAGATCATGGTAGGTGCAATTGGAGCATCTCAACGACTTCGATTTGGCTGATGATGTTGCTCTACTAGCACAACGGCGCTCTGATATGCAGAGTAAGCTCAATGACCTAGCCGAACGCTCCTTTGCGGCGGGTCTCACCATCAACGTCAACAAGACCAAATCGTTGGATATCAACACGGGCAACCCTTCCAACTTTACGGTAGCGGGGCAAGCAGTGGAGAAGGTCGAAAGTTTCCAATATCTTGGCAGCCAAATAGCGTCGGACGACGGGACCAAGAGCGACATAGGTGCACGAATCAAGAAGGCTAGGGCTGCCTTTGCGAGTTTACGAAACGTATGGAGATCCAACCAGATCAGTCAACGCACCAAAATCCGAATTTTCAACTCGAACGTGAAATCTGTGTTGTTATACGCCAGCGAAACGTGGTGTGTATCAGCGGAGAACACTCAAAAGCTGCAGGTCTTCATCAACCGATGCCTGCGGTATATAATTCGTGCCTGGTGGCCTCACAACTGGATCTCGAATGCCGAGCTCTATCGTCGATGTCATCAGAAGCCGATAGCAACAGAAATTCGAGAGCGAAAGTGGAGGTGGGTCGGCCACACACTTCGACGGGGCGGAAACGAAATCTGCAAGCAAGCGCTGGATTGGAATCCGGCAGGACATCGCAGCAGAGGCAGACCCAGGGGCTCATGGCGGCGGAGCCTCAATAAGGAAATTAAGCAAGTCGATAGGAATCTGACCTGGGCCCAGGTCAAGGCAAAAGCGAGCAGCCGCCCAGGATGGAAGTCTTTCACGTTGGCCCTTTGCACCGCTGGTGGTGCACAGGACCCTTAAGTAAGTAAGTACTGCTTAAGTCTGCTATCAATTAAGCACAAATCATACATGCAATTGATTCGAGAGAAAATTAAATTGAAAATAAATACAAAATATATTTACGAAATCCCACGGTAAATTTTGTTCATCAATAGTTTTGTGAAAGATTTAGCTTGAACAAAATGGTTAGTTTTGACCTGATTATAAAATAAAACTTCGACATACATAACATTTAAAACCTATTTAAATTATACAGACAAGATTATTTTCCTGGTGGACTTATGAAACTCCTGGTTTTTTCCCGGTTTTTCCTGGTGAAAATAAATTCCCGACTTTTTCCCGGTTTTTCTGGTTCGCTTGCCACCCTGATTGTTTGTTTAAAGCTTTATTAGTGCGATCAATACCTTTCTCGAAGTTCTCGAAGCTTCTCTAAAGTGTTTGCAGTTCTCATGAAGCTTGTTGTACAACCATGAATTTAATTGAATTGTTCTAAAAATGTTTAAGCTTGCGTGAACTTCTGGACTTATGTGAAAAACTCAATAATTTTCTTAACATCTCTAAAGTTCTCTGAAAATCTGGGAACTTCTTGAAATTTCCCGCTAATTTCCCGGCGCCGGTGGTGTAGTGGTAAGCGTGGCATAAAATCTCTGGTCACGCATTCCTTCGGAAGGGAAGTAAATCCGTTGGTCCTCGGTCCATGAGTTGATGGGTCGGTTAGCTAGGGTTCAGGGTGGGAGCTGCCTCCCTGACGTCGGTAACATTGGTACTTCAGTACGGAAAACAAGATCGACGGAAAATACATAGAGATCGAGAAATTTAGTGAAACAAATGGAACTGAACTCCCCTGAAGTTCCATTTGTTTTTGGAGCTTTACTAAACTTTTTTGAGATGCTCCCGAAATGTCCATAAAAGTTCCTGCAGTTCTCGGATCTTCCCTTAAGTTTCATAGACTTTTGTTAAGTTCTCGAAATGTTTCTGAAGATCTCTGTACTTCTATGAAGTTTTCGAAGATATTTTGAAATTTCTGTGAACTTCTCTATGCTTCCGCAGTTAAATAATCAAAATAGATCTATGATTTTCACTGAAGTTCTCAAGATTTGTCTGAAGTTCAAATTATAGAAACTAATTCATAACTTCTTCAATAGTCTAGAGTTTCCTGATGTTTCTAAAAGTGCCAAAATTTCCTTTAAATTCTGTAGGGTGCCCTGAATGTGTATTTTTTTAAAAGAACCCACCATTTTACTGGAATTGATTTAATTGCCTTTAAGTTCAACAAAGTTCCTTAAATTTTATAAAGTTTATAAACGCTCACGGAACTTTGCCTTAAATCACTAGTTTTCCCTGGAAAGCCTGGAAATCCCAGAAGTTTTCTATACTTACCTTAATTTCTCTAAAATGATCAAATGTTCTGGTAAATTTTCTGATATAATTCCCTGAAGCTTCTAAAGTTTTCGGATCAATCATAGAATTATCGGAATATCCCATAATTCTAAGCAACTCCTTGTAAGTCGCTGCAAATTTCCTTAAGTTAATGTGATTTTTCTGATCGGTGCTTGTTAAATCCAGCTCGTGATCCAGCTAAAAGTTCTCGCCTTTTTTTTAATTTGGAACCTCGTTGATTTTTTTTAAAGAGATTTTTGAACTTCGTTGATGTTTTCTAATCAACTTAGCTATATTTTCCGATTTTTTTTTATATCTTGAAATTTTGATTATACAACACCCTTAAAAGACTCTCACATTTTCCGGATGTTTCTATAATATTTATTGCGTTCCAGAAATTTTCTCTGAGCAATCCGAAGTTTCCGGAAATTCCGGTTTCTGCAATTTCCTTGAAATTTTTCGAACTGCCCTTTAATTCTCTGATCTGCTTTGATGTTCTCGGAGCTTCCCTAAAACTCGAATGAAGATCTCGGTTCGGCTTTAAAATAGATGGAATTCTCGTAAACACCTTTAAACACCGCTACCAGCCCTGCGTTTTGAATGAAACATTGCCATTTCCAAACCTCGTGTTGTTAGTTTTCTTGAAGGTCTTGTGCTTAATGCTTGATTTGTCTTTCGCTTCGTATTTCTAAGAATTGACTCTAAATAGATAAAAAACAAAAACAAAAACAAACAAAACGCTTCCCGCCCACAAGCTGTAGACCGAGTGCAGAATCTTTGTGATGATACTTTCCAAACGTGCATATCCATAGAAATAAATCCAATTCAATAAAGGATTGATTTCCACTGCTACTAAATCCAGCATTCCTACTAAAATATCAAATGCTGTGCTTAATCATTTATTATTAGTGCAGAGCAATAAACAATGTACGATGATGATTAATCTGTATATATTAATATGCTTTTATAAGCGGGTTCAAATGCACTTTTGGTAAGCATCAACACTGATCTGGCAACACTAGTGTGCATCTTTCCAATGAGGTAAAGATCCAGATCAGCCCTGGGACCTAGTAGCCTAATTAAACTACCTCAAGGTTTTGCCAAAGCCCAGGGATATCCAACGTAAACACATCATTGGGGCATAGAAAAGCCTGTATTTCAATAAACAATAACAGCTGTTCCTACCATGATTAATAATCAAAAGGCTATGTTTATAAACAAAGTATTAATCGATTTCACTCCATTTAAGACGCATGGCCCTTTACACCATAGGGTGGGACTCTTGCCCCATTGCAGTTTAAAAAAATATTTGGAATGTCATTTTTGGCGGCATTTAATTTACATTACATTGCTGATTTACTAAGGCAATGTTATGAATTTGTAATAAGGTGAATCATATCACCATAGATGGTGAGACAAAACCAGTACATAACCAACCCCCCAGGCATATTTCCGGCTACCGGTTCCAACGCACTTACCTGGCAATCACAGTCAAAAGCGGTGATGAAAACGAATTCATGTATTTTACAGCCGGCCGGTAAGCTCGTGTGAGCCGCGCATCCAGCTCGTGATCCAGCTCATTGAAATGACGCAAATAGAGCTTTCCATACTGCGACCAGCAACGCATGCCCAGCGTTCCGGGTTCCTTTTTAATCAACTGCAATCGGAAATAATTGCATTAGTTGAATACCATCGTGACGCAACAACGCGAAAGCAACTCACATCGACGTAATTGAAGAAAAAGTACATCAACTGACAGAGGAAGATGAACGGTGAAAGCACGAGATTGCCAACCGCAACCCAGAATATCTGATTGGCCAGCTTGTTTGCCAGCTCCATTCGGCGGTTCGAGCGTTTGAATTCCTCCCTTAGGTGCCAGTTGTTCTCGAACGGTGACCATGGTCCCCCTGGAAGTAACCAGAATCCATTTGTTCCAACAGTCAAATGATTATGAAACCAGCTGACGCTTCTTACAGAATAGAATCAATCCTACGTTGTAGCGCAAAGCTTGACTCAAACAGACTACGTTTCCTAATAATGGCAGCTGAATTGTAGACGGAAGAAGTGATTTGTTCATCATTGCAACCATGTAGTTTTTGAACCTGCAACAAAACTGGGTTTAATGTACGAATGCAATACAGGATTGTCCTTCAATGGGGCACCTTAGTATCCTATGATAGATATCTAGCTCAGTCAATTGCTCTTTGTTGATGCTCATCTGGATTTCCGATTGCACTTCACGGATCTTCTTTTGGACCTCGTGCCAGGTTAGGTTGTCCAAGTCCGACTGAAAATGCACACCAATACGTCACTTCTTATCCATAAACATTCAACAGCAAGCTCCAACTCACATCGTCAATCTTCAACGCGGTATTGAAGAACAACTTGATATCCCAAAACTGTACCAGGTGGCACAGGAACTTGAACAGTCGAAAAGTCCAAAACAAACCGGCCATCACCAGCACTAGCCAGTCGATGCCTCCCAGTGCGGCAACGCACTCCGCCGGTGGCATCATCGCATCCGTTAGCTTAATTTTGTGACGTTCGTCCTTATCGCTGGAATATAGAAGCTGTAATTATGGGCATCAGTAAAACTGTGCCGAGGGAAACATACTTGAAAAGCACGCTATAGTCTATGCAATTGATCATGTACGTGATCAGTAATACGACGAACATAAACTGAAACAGCTCAAACACCTTCTGCAGCATCATTACGTAGAATCCGTGCTTCTGGTGGTAGCAGTAGAGCCGATTGAAGAACGAGTCCAGATCTTCGATGTGGTTCCATCGCGCTGAAAAAAAAAAAGTTGGAGAAGGTGGTAAGTAAACGGACAAGAAAGGCACGTTACGTTGTTCTTGCCGGATACTCTTTTATCGAAGACATCAAATCAAGAAGACTGGCAACTCTGCCAGAATCCAAGCGACAGATACAGTAGCGCTGCGCTCGGGCGAAGGTGGAAGTAAAGCATAGAGAAATGAGCAAATACACAAACTATTCTTCCAATTCGTTCGAAGCATTTACCTTTTCGCGGCAGATGACGCGATTGTGCCGGTATCATGAGCTGCCAGTCTTCTTAATATGTTGTCTTCGCTTTTATGGTACTAATACTTTTTTTTTTTATTTATTATAGTCACTTTAACACTCTTGGGTCATTCGTGACTTGTCCGGGGGTGAGATTTGAACTCGTGACTTTGGCGTGAGAGGTATGGATGTTAACCACTACGCCGGGATCGCCCTCGGTACTAATACTACTGTGTTCGTAATAACAGGGCTGTCAAAAATAATTATTTTAGAGGCCTTGTTGAAGACATAAGTGATTTACAGTTGTGATTAAAAAGTGACCTAATAGAAGAAAATTTGTTGTTCTGATGGCACATCAAATAAATGGTTGATGTTTTAGGTTTATTCAATTAGTATCTCAAACATTTATGTACGATAAACAATTAGAGCGAAAGATTCAATGGAAAGTCTATTACCAAACCCACGGTTACCTGGGAAAACCGGGAATCCTCAGGGAATTTATTTTTTCCTGAAAATCCCTAGAAGTCTCGAAGAATCTCATCATTACTCTGGGAATTTAATAATTTTCTGTGAATGCATTTTAAAATACAAACATTAAATTTCAAAAAAGAAAAACATTCCTCGTTATTTTTTATTCACACAGTGAACTTTATAGATCCAGAGTGGATTAATTTTCAGTAACAGAGGCTTGATTTTTTCTGAGGAATATGTACATTTTCCACAAATGTTTAATTTGAGCTAGTTTTTGAAATTCTGGACTTCAAAGTTATAATATTTTAGGAATCTGGCGTCAAGTTTCCAAGGACTTCATTCCAATGGAGTTCTGGAAAAAAAATCATTGAGAAAAACATTAAGTGGGCCTTCCTTAGCTCAGTCGGTAAAGGCGCAGCTACAAAGCAAGACCATGCTGGAGGTGACTGGGTTCGATTGCCGGTCTGGTCTAGGAATTTTCGGGTTGGAAAATTTCTCGACTTCCCTGGGCATAAAGAATGATTGTACTTGCCACACAATTATACCAAATGCCAAAATGGTACAGGCATCGAAAGCTCTGAATTAATAACTGTGGAAGTGCATCCAGAACACTAAGTTAGAGCACGCAATAAGCTAATATGCGAGGAAGAAGAAGCAATCTGCTTTTAAGGTAGTTCTGAGGAATTTAAGATTTCATGTGAAGCCTGATATAGTTTTGATTAGAATTTCAAGGACACCCTGATTTGAATTCAAAGTCAATTTTAATGAAAACTCATATGAATTTCTGAGGGGCAGAACTCTTGTGAACTTCAGAGAAAAATTCCAAGGGCATTCTGAGAATAATTTCATTAAGTTTTTAAGAGAAGTCCTTGGAAATTGTTGGAGAATACTTAGAGCACAGACAGACAGACATAACTCTCACAATCGCATACATCGCAAATAAGATTTTAGTAGGGAATGTGCTCGCATTTGTCTTGGTGGCGTCACTGAAGCGTTAAGCAATCCACCTTATTTCGAACTTGTCACTGATGCCAGTTCTTTTTCAGATCAATTTAGTAGATGTCAGCTCTTGAAAATGATAGGAGGGCCAAGTCATCCCACTGGAGACACAAACCACTTACTAATGGCAGGATTGGTAGCAATCACTGCTGTTAAAAATAGTGATTTTAGTGACCATTTCGATGAAATAAGTGACCAAATACTGACTTATAGTTGTAAAATTAGTGACTAAAAAGTGACCTAAAAGTAAATTTTAATGAAAACTCTTAGGGATTTCTAAGGAGCTTCAGAGAAAAATTCCAAGGGTATTCTGAGCATAATTTCATAAAGTTTGTGGGAGAAAACGACTCCGGAGCATAAGTCCTTGGAATTTTTATTTGAAAATACTAAAGGAGGATTACAATTAAATCTGAGAATAACTCCAGGACATCTTCAAAGGAATTCGGAAAATGAATTCAGGAGAGTTTGCCAAAAAAATTATGAGAAGAAATATAAGTAATTTGTGAGGAGAAATGCCAATGAATTCTTATGAGACTTTCAATGTGAGTAGAATTCCAAAGGAAGGAGTGAGATTGAAAAGGAAATCTGAAATGAATTCAATGAATATTCGGAGAATCTTTCGAAAGGGTTTCTTATTGTGGAGAATTCCAAGGAAAACTAAAAGAAAATTGAATTCGGTGGATAGCTTCACCAAAATTTTGAGGAATATTTCAATGGAAATCTCCGTACAATATGGCATGGACTATTCTGTTTTCAGGTTTTCAGAACTACTTGAAAGTACCCAATTTTTTCCTGAAGTTAATGAGACTGCCTTGAAGTTCTTGTGTAGTTTGAGAATTAATAAATAATCCAAATTATTTGCCTTGAAGTTTCGACAATTTCCCTTAAGTATTATAACCATTATAAACGGTCCCTAATTTTCCCTGAACTTATCAGTGGTTACCTGAAGTTCTCATAATTTGTTTAATAATTCGGCAATTTGTTTGATATATATTCATAATCCCCTGACGCTTCTGAATTCCCTGAGTTTCTCGCAACTTCTTTAAGGTTTCTACAATTTCCTTGAAATTGTTTCAACTGCCCTTTGATTCTATAATCTGTCTTGATGTTCTCGAAGCTTCCCTAAAACTTTCAATTCTATTGAAGATCTCGGTTCTGCTGCTCGGAAATAAATAGAATTCCCGTAAAAACCCTTAAATTTCCCTGAAATTCTCTGGACTTCTGTGAAGTTTCTGAAATATTTCTGAAGTTTTCATAAATTCTCTGAAGGACTCTGTACTTCCCAGAAATTCTCGGAACATCTTAAGGGTTCTCAATTTTTTTCAGCACATCATGGAACTATCCTGAATTTTTCTAAATTTACGATTATAGAACTTAGAACTTCTAAAAACATTGCACAATTATTATTACATTATTACATAACATATTACACAATCATGTTTTCTATATTTCTCAAGTTCCCTTGACACCTGTAAAGTTCTCTGAAATTCTAGGAACCGCTTTGAGGTTTTTAAAGCTTCCAGTAAGTTTCCCATATTGCCAGCGTATTAACTTCCCTTATGATCCCGCAGTTTATTTATGGAGCTTCACTGAAATTCTCATCATTTCTTTTCATTACTCATTACTTCGCCAAAGTTCCTACGAACTTGAAATAAATCATTTATTTTTTCCTTGATTCTGACACTTTGAAAATTTTCAATAGCTTGAACTTGTACATGGAATACGAAACTTCAAGATATTGATCTTGGAATTACTCAAATTGGGTAAGTTTTTTATAACTTTATAAAGTGAGAAATTAAGTAAGTGATAAAATTCAACATAAATCCATTGTTACAATTCAGCTGTTTCTTTAAAACTGATTGACATGCCTTAAAAACATTTGGATAAATTGCTGTTGTTTTTGTCTACAAAAAAATAATATTTTTAACGCATTTAAAAATTCAAGAATTCATCCGTTAAAATACTGAAAAAACCTGGAAAAGTCAGTTAATTTTATTTAGAAAAATGAATAGACACCCTGTAGATAGAGAAAGACGATTAAACGCCTGAAGCAAAGAATGATAAATATTGAAATAAATTCGCGCTAAAAAAGTTGAAAATAGTGTAATGAGAGAGAGAAGGATTAGTATTTTCCATTTAATTCCACTACTTTATTTGCTTATCCTTGACAGACACGCGTATTTCGTCTACAATGTGCAGACTTCTTCAGTGTCTTGTACTAATACTCAACTGAAGAAAAACATCGCATTTACCGAATATATTTTAACTCAGGTACATTTTCACTTAGAAACTATGTAAACTTAAATTTAATTTTCTATAGGAACAGCTGCTGACTCGTTGATGTGTCCACTGTGTTGATGTGTAACTTGAAAATCCATGTGTGTCCGTTTCCTTGATCCATGTTGAGTAAAGTTGAATTACGGCTTGGATGAGGCTTTCTGCAACATCCAATTTACATGGTGTAGATACGGTTCGTAAAATCGTGATGTCCTCCGTCGATAGTTGGTGGTCCTCTGTGAAGATGTGTTCTGCAACCTTTGATTTGAAACCATATGTTAGGCCTTTTTCCTCTTGCTTTATGGCCTTATTAACCTCCGCTATATGTTCTTTAAATCTAGTTGCTAAAGTTCTCTTGGTTTGTCCTACATATACTTTGTTACAATGATTACAGCTTATTTTATATACACCTGCTTTACCTAAAACATTAACTGGGACTTTAGTGGATCCTAACAATGATTTCAACTGGTTATGTCTACTGGTGAAAACTAAAGCTAATCCGAATTGTTTTAACTGTGGTCTTAGGTTACAAGTAATATCTTGATCAAATGGAACGGACACTCGTTTCAATGGTTCAGGTGTTGCGGTCAGGGTTGTAAATAATCTCCTTTGTAGAATTCTCGCTTTTTTATCGATGATTGCCTGGATTGTGGTCTCCTTGTATCCGTTGAGTCTTGCTGTTTCGAAGATGTACTGTAATTCCTTAACCTTTCCTGTATCGCTTAGTGGAAAAGTCTGCATTCGATGAATCATGTGGTGAAAGGCGGCCATTTTCTGCTGGAACGAATGGTTGGAAGAATAGGGGATAACTCTTTTGGTGTTTGTTGGTTTCCTGTAAATTTCGTATTCAAGCGAGGAAGATGATGACGATTCCCTGATGACTAGAAGATCGAGAAATGCGAGTTTCCCGTCTTTTTCTACCTCGCGAGTGAATTTGATATCCTTGTGAATTCTGTTGATCTCATCTAAAATTTGTGGAAGGGTTTCCCGTTTAACTACGCTAAAGATATCGTCAACAAACCT